CTATTTCACTTTATTCTAGCCCCTGATTCACTTGTTCAAAACCCAGTTTTTACAGATGTATGTAGGTGATGATTTAATGTGTAATTATCTCTTTTGAAGCTGACACTTTGAAGAAATCAATGAGCTATGGAAATAATAAGGTGAGAAAATGGGCTTCATTTCAGTCATTATCCCTACACTGCATTCCTGAGGAAGGCTGCCAAAGTGGTGTCAGCTGGAATAGAAGAGTCTCTTGGAGGCTCCAACCAGCACAGCACAAACCCATTACAGTACAGGATGAAAAGCAGTGATTTTTAACACTTTGCTTTTCCCTCTCTTAGCTGGAGAAGAAAATCTGGACTGTTATCTTCACAGGTAAAAATAGAACTTTTCCTTCTACTTTCAGAGCTGTTGCCAGCTTTCCTTTACTGGTAATGCTAATGGTTTTCTGCCTCCCAGAATCCATGGCACCTTTGTGCCTTATGCCAGCTGGTCTAATTTTGACTACAAGTAAATTATCTGAGCAAAACTGAGTCTCTGCTTTTTATGTAGTCAGGATATACTACCCCATGAGTGTTTAAAGTTGGAAGGAAATGGGATTTGTGATTCTGGCTGGATTTTTAAAATTGCAGGATAGTCAGGTAATTCATAACAGTCTTGCTAACATCAAACCATCTCTGTTTTCATGGCAACTGAATTCCATTCAGGAAGTTATTTTAATAAAAATACATTTTTCTCTCCCATTTTACAGAAAACCGTGTGCACACAAATAAAAATTTATTATTTTTTCACAGGCCACTCCTGTAAAAATTCAGTCTGGAATTGTTGCAAATCCACAACATTGATTTTCAATATGGCTTTTTTGTATATATCAGTTTTGTTATCAGTAGCCCTTAATGGATTCTTTTTGGCTCTGAATGTACTTAAGTATTATTTGAACACAGGCAAACATTGGTGTTCACAACAGCCCAAAACAATGAGTTTCATCACTTAATGACATGCTTTATGGAACAGTACCTTCTTTTGTACATGTTTATCTCATCTTTTAGGTGATACTCTCTAGTTCTTGCATTAAATGCATGAGCAAACAGTTATTGCCTATTCAGTGTTTCCTGCCATTGCTTATTTACAGATCTGTTATCTCTTTCTTCAGGCTTCTGTTTTCCAGATGCTGACTCTGAGCCTGGTTCATGGTTCTTTGTGTGGAAACCATTTTTTACCCACAATAGGCCTCCCACAGTTGTATTATATATATTTTCATTATTAAGGGGAAATACTACACACATTATTCACAGTAAGAGGGCACCATGGATTTGTTCACTGGTGTATTATCCTATTCTTTCCCTTGTAATATCTAACATTTAACTTCTGGATCAATACTGAGTACTGAGTTAATCTTTTTATAGGATTGTCTGTTATAATTCCAACATTTTTCCCTGAATAGGACTGTGTATCCAGGACTCATTCAGGACTCTTCATTATAAACACAAAGTTAAGGGTGGGCTGTGTTTACCATGTACACCATTTGTACCTACAAGTAATTTAATTTTACATGGGATCATTCAGCCATCCACCACAATGAAATCCTGATGTAAAATTTCTGCAGTCACTTTTTTGTTCCTGCTGCCCCAAGTAACTTACTGTTTTCAGCCACTTTGGGCATATTGCTGCTCCTTTCTCTTTTCTAAGTCATTGATAAACATTATGCAAACAGAGGTCATCTCTCTCTACTGATGGCTTTACTCCACTGTGAAAACTGATCTATTTGTGGTATCACATATTGTGTCTTAACTAGAATTAAATAGTATTTAACAAGTGTATTTAACAGTGTTAATCCTGGGAATATTTTCAGATGACAGCATTAATTATTTTTGGAAGGCTTTCATTGGGGAATTTGTCCAAAGCCTTCCAGAAAAGCAAGACAATTTGCCAGACATGTACTGTTCACATGGCTAGCAATTCTTTCAAAGATGAGTTTATGATAAAAGACTCCACCTTAGACTTTGACTCTTCCTTGATAGAGCACATTTATTGATGTCTTTACCAACCCTGCTTTTTTTTATAATTAATAATATTTTGCCTACTGCATACATTAGGCTGGTCTCAAAACTCCCCAGGATTTTTCTAAAAGATCTGGTGTGAATTCAACCTTTTTAAAAATAGAGCAATTTAAAGCAAGAGGCTCCAAACCATAGTTGGCAGTTTGGCTGTTTCATTCCTAATGCCCTTTAAAATACATCATCTTTTAGATGAGAATTTTCTGCTCTTGGCAATTTACTACTGATTGAAACCTCTCCTACCAAGCTGGCAGATGTTTCAGGCAGGGAGATCCTGTGGCACATCACATACATATGCAGAAAAGGGACAAGATTCTAGCACAGGAACCCCCCTGAATTCCTCCACAGTGAACACAGAGGAAAAGTACCCTTCTAATTATCTACCATGGCCTTGTTTTGTTTGAAATCTTTTACACCTTCCTCAATTATTGGCCAAACAGAAACTGTCAGATTCTCATTCCCAATATATTTGGAAAGGAGTTTATTATTTGTTTTTATGTCTTGCAGAATGTTTTCCTGAGAATATATTTTCTATATTGTGTTTTACACATGGTTTCCAAAGTTTATTTTCCTGTGTTTTCTATTTCAGCATAACTTATGACTTTTGAAAGGTTTCCTTAACCTCATACTAGTCTTCAATATGCTACTGTGAATATGTTATCTGAACACATTATCCTTGTTTAAATGTCACACAGCAATAGGATGTCATCATCATCATGGCAGCTAAATGGAGTCTTTCATGATTGTGCTCTCCACCTTTGCAATCTCTGTAGTTTCTTTTAGCACAGATGGAATTGCCTTTCTGGTAGAAAATCCATGCCTTCTTTTGATGGGATTCTACTGCTTCAGCCTCCCTTTATAGTTTTGCCAAGCTCTGCTCCAGGCCAAATCGGAGGACACAAAGCTTCTGTTGACACAAACCCAGAGGAAACGTCACTGAAAATATCATGCCCTTTCACATCCGGTCTCCACTCCCCTTGTCTTTTCTTTAAGTATTTCACCAAAACTTGTCTAATTGTAACTGTCAGCAGTGTGGTATAATTTTAGTTTAAGACCACTTTTCCTGAAGGAGCTACAAATTATTCCCCTGTGCTCGCTGAATCTCAGTTCTGCTTCTGTACACAATGTCCTGTATCTTTGTGCAAAATTCCTAAGACAGTTTTGCACTTCAGGCTTTGGGACTGGTTTAGCCAGCTGCTTGAAATGTTTTGAATTGTGGGTGAAACACCAAGCTCCTGAGTTCTAAGATGCTTTTGATTAAATATTGATGAAATTGCTGAGTTTTATCTGCCATTTCTAGATTTGGGAGGGAGAACAGGGACTGAACCAATATTGCTACTCTGAGAGATATTAAAATGAAGATATGTCCTGAATTATTGGGTAAATCAGCACTTTCACTTAGCTGGAAGCCTTCCTTGTTACAGGGAACAGTAAGTTAGAAGTTGAAAAATCCATGCTATTAATAGAATAGTATTCTATAAGATGTAAGAGTTTTGATAAATATTATTGAATATAATTTTGTTTTCTTTTCCCCCTTTTGCATGTCTACAGTGCAGCAGTGCATCATGGTTGTGTTTTCCTTCCCTGATCTAAAAGGTGCTCCTAAACTTAAATAATCCAGCTCTGATTTTAAAAGTCTGGAACTACAGGTAACACCAGAGAAGACCTCACTGTCTTCCTGGACTGTGACCCAGCAACATTTTCCCATGAGATCAGTCTCAGTGCAAATTCTTTTTAATACTATACCCACCATTGAAGTGTCCTATGTATTCATAATACTTAAAATGTCTTGTAAGTTTCATATGGTGTCAGTGGATTGTAACACCTGAAAATGAAAACTGATCTGCTTCTTTCATCAAAATACTTTGTCAGTGGGCAGAACCATTAACCAAGCAATGCAGCCACAAAGGTGATTCCCTTCACCAGGTGAATAAGGACCTGTTTAGAACTGTACACCAAATGGATATAGCAACAGAAAAAGCTTGACTTACCACCCTCTTCCTTGCTGCTCTGTGATATAAGTGGACTGAGAAAACCTTCCTTATTTCTGAATTCATACAACATAAAGGGACAGCACCAGCTCCTCTATACAAAGCCAAGAAAAATCTTCTTTCAGCATAACAGGGAGCAGCAATGATAAGGTCTGCAAAGAAATGTCACACTGTTCTTGAGCCCACTTCCTCTTTTGTTACACTTGGGGCAATGTCTACTACACTAAATTATCCAAGTAATGCACTCACTAGGGAAAGCAGTCTATCCATTGAATTCTGAGACTTTTTAAATAAGTCATTATTTCATGTGTTGTCTCTTCAAAGAACCCAGTTCACAAGTTAAGACCATTCCCTGCTTCTATCGGATACTCTGTAGAGAAGTAGGCTTCCATTTTTTTCCACTTACACTCAAGGAACACATGTAAAATTAATGTTGTTTGTTGTCAGTGACCTTCTGAGTCCATCCACGCAGAGGGGGTCAATCACCTGTTTTAGGGGAAAAAGTAGTACCTGGAACTGCAGATAAGGAATGTTAGTAAAGTTTAAGTATGACAAGGATTTGGAAATCTGAAGAATTGGATCAGATAGTGGAAGAGTAGTGAGAACATTTACTGTCCCTGTCTGACATTTAGAACTGCCTCTCACATGAACATTCCATGATGAAAAAGTACTTCCTGCTGAAAGCCATGTTTTGGCTATTTTTGACGTCCATACTGAATGACAGAGAAGACCATCCTGGTGGTGCTGCTTTAGGTTCCCAGGACAGCAGAGCTTAGCCTTAGACTCAAGTTTAAAGCAAGCTGGATGCAAGGCACAGTTGAGGAGCAAGGACACCACTGTCAAAGGACAGCTGAGGATTGACACAATGCTAAGATGATCTCAAATGACAATGAGCCCAATGGCTCTGCCAGCTGAGACTGTGGAATCACTGCAGCGGAACCACGGATGTAAAGAAACCCAAGTACCAAACAGGGAAGCTCAAGTGGACTTTATTATAGTTATTAGAATGTACAGGGACATCAGTGCACTGGTTCTTATTTCATTTCTCAGATTCAACACAGGAGCAGTTAGACACCAGCTCTTTGCTTTATGCATATTTAGAATGTGTCATGTGGGACATCCTGAAATAATTTTCTGAAAGGTTCTTGAAGAACAGTGTAGTCAAAACCAAGCTAAGTGACTTCATAGATTCCCTGCTATTTCAAGGAAATGCTATGGATACCAAAAAGCTTTAATATAAGAAGTGATTAGGAAATGCCAACAGGGTGGTAGGATACAGGTAACTGATTTTATCGTTGCTTTTATAGTTTTTAAAGTCCAGTCCATTCCATTAACTGGAATCAGTCCTTGAAAACTTCATTATAACACTATTTCTTTATTACAAATATTTACATACTATATATTAGTACAATTTTTATTTCCACACTTTAACGATCCCATCCCTTGACGCAGTTACTATAAACCCTTGTGTGGTCTGGAAAGTCGCGATATCGGTGATAATATCGTGATGCCCGACTGGGAGAGACTCTGGACCCTTCCGAGGGGTCTCATCACTGGGCCCCATCTTTTGCTTGTTCTGAATTTCCTGTAAAAAACAAAGTGAGAAATACTATTTACAGAAGGGTGAGCATTTGCAAAGAGAAACTGTCATCCGTATTAGGTTGTGGGTCTAAGAAGACCACAAAACCTCTTCCACCAAAAAGCCAATCAAACAAAAATGTCCAAACATACCACCTCACTCCCTTTGACAGTTTTCTCAGGATTACTCCTTGGTTCATATCTTTTCATCATACACAGTCTAAGTCTTAATCTGAACTGACACTATAGCTCTTTGATTAGGTAAACAGTGGAGGTTTTTCTCATATTATTTCAATGACACTAAGATTTTATATTCCAATAAGGGGAAAAAAGTTATAGGAACACATACATCTTGGCTTCCCAAAGCTTTTATAAAAACTGCTTCAATAGCATGAATGTAATATAGAAGTTTGAGAAGAAACACTAAAGAACAGTGCATTGGGTAGACCCCTACTGACTTGTTTTAGTCACCTTTGAAGTAGCACTCAATTTGTTGAACTGAAACCATTGTGCTATTTAACAACTAGGAACACTGCCAGTTCCCAAAGTCACTCGGAAGGATGTAACAAAAACTTCAGCATGCAGCTACTGTATTATCCTGGTACCAGTACATCTCACATGCTAAGGTCCTGCCCAAAAGACATTCCAAACACTGATCAAAGCCAAAAGTGTTAAAAGTCTAAATTTCAATATCCCAAAAGGAACATATGACTCTGGCTTCTGCATGTAAGTAGTATTTGTTGAGCCCAATTCTGTCAAAAACAAATTATGTACTTCTTTTAAAGTAACTTCTTCCCAACTGCCCAAAACATGCAATGCTGAGACCATCCACAAAACGTAAGAGTGAGTAAGTTCTGATTGAAGACATCATGCAAAGAGTACAATCCATAGGGCCATCCAAAGGGAAGCAGAATAGGTGTCTATCAAACAAAGCAAAATACCTGAACCACCTCTGTGCCCTCAATTATCTTCCTGTAGTAGGAAACAGATGGGCAATTAGAACTTCCAGCAACAACATATGATCTCTCAGGGTAGGCTAGATCCCAAAACCTAAACATGAAGAAACAAAATCAAGGTGAGATGTTCAATTCTATCAGCTTAAAACAGCTGCTTGAAAGTGGTCTTGCTCTTACGATGAAAATGAATGGGCTCAAATGCTATCTGCTTTCTACACTTAGTGGGAGGGAGTAATGCAGGTAAATTTACGCTCATATCAAGCTCACACATGAGTTATTTTTGGTTTGAAACCCATGAAGAATTTTACAGAAGGATACCCACTGTGTTTCAGAGTACACATTATGTTTCAGAGAAGCACCAAGTTCTGCAGTCCTTTTGCTGAGAACAATTTCCTCAGCTCACTGGTGTTTACTAATGAACACATGTTCAGTGTTATTGTTTTGGACTCAGAGATTACTTAGGCAACTAACTACTTAGGTAACTTACTAATTACTTAGTAATTACTAACTAATTACTTAGGTAACTACTCAGATGTTACTTAGACAACACTTGGCAAAATTTAGTACACCAGCAGGGGTGGAGGGGAGGGTGACAAACAAGGAAGTTGTTTAGTTTGATTACCTTATTTTCATGTCTGAGCCTGCTGTCAGTAATATGGGATTACCAGAAGCTGGACTACAGTATATTCCATGGATGCTGTGAGGAGAAGGCTAGCAGGAAAAAGGCATATATAAAAATAACTTATCAGCAATAGCTGTTACATGATGCTTCAGAAAGGGAATGCATTCCTTCCCACATTCATCCACCCAGTTTCCAAATCTTTCTGGCAAATGCCAAGTCACTTTAGTGGGCCACATCTTAATATATTAATGTAAATTGCTCCCTTACAGTTTACAGAGCAATACAACAGAATTAACCCTCAGTAATCATATTTTTTTTTTAATCTTGGAAATTACATTCTCAATGATGAGAGATTATTTTTAAAAGAATCAGGCAGGCAAATCCTACTGAAAAGCACATGGATGCTTAAATTTTTAGGCTATGAAGGCATTATGGGACAGATATACAACAGAAAACTATCTTAGATCATGGAGCTCCCTGTGTAAAAAAGGGCAGGACTGAAATTAACTCAACCTGCAATCCTTTTGGCACATACAAAAGGATTTAAGGTTTAAGTAGATTTAGATTTAAGTAGATTCCAGATAGGCATTTACAACATTTATAGAAGCAGCTGTGGTAATTTTTGTCTATGGATTTGTGAACCATACTCCAGATTGCTCCTTTTCCAATTAAGTCCTTGAAGAAGAACCACTTCATGCTTTAAACTAGCAGTTAAGTGTAGTAGTGGTATTATATTACAGAAAGAATGTGTAAAAGAGCAGATGTTTACAGAAGTATGCATAGCCCCAGGAACAGCAAGCAAAAATAAGTACAAGATACCACACCATGAATTTTGGCTTTTTCATAATCTTTACAAGCTCACTGGTTTTCTAAGAACATGGCTGGGCATAACAAGTGAGTGCTACAAGTACATTCCATAGACAGTGGAAAGTGCCAATGAAGATTTAGGTTACACTGCTGTTTTACAAAGGGCATTTAATTCTGACAAGTAAAACAGTTATGGTGCCAAAATGAATCCCAGGGCAAGTTCTGAACTGATGCACAGCATCAGTCTAAGGTTGCTTGCTCTAACCCTGGCTACACAACAGAAACTGGAAAAGAAAGAGACCAGACCTGCAGTTCTGAAAGAGGTGGCGCACTGCTGGCCCACAGAGTGAAGCGTCGATCACCAGTTTCCATATCCCACATGGAGACTTCATTGTTGCCTTGAACAGCTGCAGGAAAGATAAAGCCAGTGCAAAAAGTACAAAACAGATTGGTTGGCTCTTGCTGTTTGCTCTACTGATATCATATAGAGGGTATGACACAGAGACACTGTCTGTCTGCTCCCTGCAGCATTTGTGTTAGTCTTGCTTTAGTACTTTGGTTTTACTGCTTGAAAGCAGCTTCACTATAATTAAAAGTGCCTGATTTACAAGCGTTTAGAGGAAACCTGCTTTAATTCCCAACCCTTTTAGAAATGTATAAAACCCTCAGTTTTATAAAACCTAGATAACTTCTCAGCGTTCTTTGAGAAGGATATGTGGTTTGTTCAGCATAGTCTTCAGGGACACTTTGGAGAACACTCCTATGCATGTAAGAAAACAACCCAAAGTTACAGAGTTCAGTAGCTACAATGAACTTCCACACTCATGTGGACAGGTAAAGAATTCTGTTCAAGGGATTGCTTACAAGCCTGGCAGCAACCTAGCAGGCAAGGACTTTTAAATAATAATCCAAAATTACGAACTCTGTCATTCCTTTAGTCTCTCACAGGGAGGAAACAAACTGGAAAGCACAGTGAAACTTGCTTTATTTGTAAGTTCTTTCAAGGAGTTTGTTTTATCTCCCAGGGTTGTTAATAACTCAGAATAGGAAGTGAAGCCTTAAAGCAAGTAAAATGTGAAATTCAACTTACTCTTGTTTTACCGCAACTTGATAAATTTTGTTATTTAGGATTAGTTTAAGGTATTTGTCCATTTCAGAATGTGTTCCTGACACAAACATATAAAAGTCTATGACAGTGCCACATGCAGTGAGGATGAAGCAGCTGTAAGTGTATCAGATGAGGAATCTTGGAGATTTCCAAAAGTTCTAACCCATGACCCAGCTGGCTTAGGTTGAAAGGGGAATTGGAATTCAATCTCTGCTCTATAGAAGGCGGTAGCAGATTTTCCATCATCTTCAATGTATGTCATGGCTTTGAATTTAATCTTTTGTAACATTCTGTCCTTAAAAAGGGATGGGGTGGACAGCACACAGGGAGGGCCCCTCATGAGAATTGTAAACGCTGTCATTTTGACAATGGCTAAACCCTACTTTTCTTCTTTTCAACTCTCCACCAGGGCTTGAAGCAGAAGCTGAAAAAAAGCTGCTTTAATCACAATCTCTGGCAACTGTGAGGTAAGTTTAAGACATCTTTTACCTGCTATTACCCAGGACTGATAGACAGGATGCATGAGCAGGCGTCTGATTCGGGCCTTGGAAGGATGAGAGTGGCTGGAGATAGGTAACTGAAACCTCATGTCCCAGCATGCCATGGTACCATTGCTCGTTCCTGGTGAGAAAAAGCTCCCCTTAGTCAGAGGGATAAATATATGACTTTTTGTCCCTATCTTTGTGCTATGTTCTGAGGGAGATGGCCTTCAGCCTCAAGTTCTTAGCAGGCAGAATGCTTCTCAAAAATAGACGAGAAGATATTTCTCTCCTCTTGTTTGAGAAGAGCATACACTAGTAAAATCAGATCAAGCAAAAGCTTGACCTGTAGCTACTGTAAGAGAAAACCATAAGGAAGAGGGGGGCAGGGAAGAAAGGGGAACTAATAAGAAATACAGGCTTACCAATACACAGCCAGCACTGGTGTATGTCCACAGCAAATGAAGTTATGAGGCCTAACTTCAAATCGTGCTTTAGTGTCCAAGCATTGCTGCTGGATCGCAAATCCCATCCAACCAGAGATCCATTAACTGTTCCATAAGCCAGAACTGACTGGGCTCCTGAATTGAAGTGATGAATGTCTACCACACAGCCATCATCCTTCAGATCTAACGACCTGGGTTAAAATAATAAACTAATTTAGGCACAGGTAAGACTCCCTCCAAGTTTAAGACTCCTTCCCACAGCTTATGCTGAGCAGCTTTTTCCTCTTTGTGTCACTTCTCAAGGCATCTGCCAGAAACAGCTTTCTGAATTCAGTACAATGGATGCTTATGCTCTCTCAAATCTCTCTGCTGATAGGACCTGCAAGGCTGTCAGCAGCCCTTTGCAAACATAAACACAGCTCTGTGCCCTGGGTCGGGGCAATCCCAAGCACAAATACAGGCTGGGTTGAAAATATACTGAGAGCAGCCCTGAGCAGAAAGACTTGGAGTGTTGGCTGATGAGAAGCTTAGCATGATGCAGCAATGTCTGCTCAGAGCCAAAAAAGCCACCCACAACAGAAGAATCAAAAGTGTGGGCAGCTGGTTGTGGGAGGTGATTCTCCCTCTCTTTGCTCCACACTTGTGAGACCCCACCAGCAGTACTGTGAGTCCTTTCTGAGGCCTGGACATACCTCTCACTCAAACTGGAAGATCAAGCTGTAACTTCAGTGCCAAACATTCAAACACTGCTCATATGGAGGTAAGAAAGAGCTAAATCAGGCCCAAAGACTCCCCTACATACTATCCCATTACCCATATCTCGACCAACTTATCACATTAAGGGCCCAAGAGGAAAAACTGCAGGTCTTAAGCAACATCACATGCTGTATGTCTAATGACCTGCAAAAGAACTTTCAAAATCACTTTGTAAGTATTAAGATTGTAACAAAGGAACTAACCAATCCCAGTATATAATTAAAACATCAGAGAACTATTCTGTATGGCTGTTTCAAGCTCATAATGTGTTATGCAGGAAGTACAAATATCCTATAACTAAGAATGGTCAGCTCTGCAGAGTTGCCTTTCAACCCTTCTTCATGAAGCAGGATAAGAACATGGATTACAGCCTTCCTGTACACTCTGGGCTCAGCCAGCAGGAAGCCTAGAGCAAATTTAAGGACCTTATCTGAGGAATATAGTAACAGCTTGAGCTCTGTGTGTGATGAGATTTAATTGCTTGAAGTACATACCTGCTTTGTATTGGATGAATTTTTGGAGATTTAGGGAGCTTTGAGGATTCAATACCAAGAAGCTGGATGGCACCATTATCTGAAGCTATAGCCAAGTAATGTGAACCTTGGCAAAATGTAAGTGTCTTTACATGTCCTCCAATCCGAGAGTATGTTAAAATTGATCTAAACAGTACAGAGACAAGTAGCGGGAGAGAAAAAGAGGTTATTTTTGGTGGCACTTAAAAAAAAAATTACTTCTCTTAAACACCAACTTAAAATCAATGGCTCTTGAGAAAGGTCTGAAAATAACATTTTCTAGCTGTTCCAAAATGAGAAAGCAAAAAATCCAGTCTTGGCTTTAAACAACAACAGCAGAATATATTTATATATGTACAGAAATGAAATCAAAAAGCCTGTAATTATTATGGCTACAAAGCAGTCCCTTTGCATTTTTTTCTTTTATTAACTAACTGAAACAGCAATCTAATATTATAGATGCAAGCCAAGAGGAACACTAATATATCTCTTCATTGATATTTCCAGTACACCCACAAGTGATTCGTATTTTGCTCCCTGCTCTACTTTATTTTTCACTCTAAAATTGCAGACCCAACTATCACAGGTTTTTAAGCTACCTGGTTGTAGTGGTTTTTCCTTCCATTTTTTGGCTGTTCCAGACCTTCACTGTGCCATCATTTGAGCAAGTGGCAAAAATGGAGTGTTCATCAGAGACCCGAATGCGATTCACGGCAGACTTGTGTTCATGAAGGTGAGCTACCAACAACCCTTTGGGACGCCATCCTACAGGGAAAACAAAACCACAACCTAATCAGGAACATGCAAGTCCCCCTAGATCCACCCACTAACAGCTATATCAGGATACTCCTTACAACTGCAAAGCACAGACAGCACTGAAAACAGTGTTAAAGCATTTTAAATATTAAAGCCAAAAGCCTACTTGCTCAGTTCTAAATTAGACACTAGTCATAGGTGCTCTGCACAGTAAACACATTTCCTAAACTAAGAATTTCTTCTTTTCCTCATTCTTTGCATTTTTTCCATGAAAGGATGATATCTTGACTCAAATTATATACATACATACATACATACATATAATTTTTTATCTAATAACCTCAGTGGCCAGTGATGTACCTGGAGGTGGGGGCTTGCTCTCCCACTCAGCATTCTCCATCATCTGTTTGGCAAGTCTCTCTGCATTACACTGCTCTCTCTTCTGCTGGATCAGCTGCTGCAGCTCAGTTTTGCAGGTGGTGATGCGCAGCTGGTGTGCAGATGGGGACATCGTGCTGCTCAGAGCCTGCAGGGTTGGTTTCCTGGGCTGGACAACTGCTCCATCAGATGCCTGTAGGAAATCAGCCCTTAAAAATATATGCCTTACATTCTACACACAGATAAATCCCCCTCACGAGATTTCTGTGTCACACACAGTGAATAAAAATAGCAAAAATCTTTTTTTATTGAATCAATTAGCAGTAAAATAGCATTTTAAAAAATGCTTGCATGAAGACAATAAAAATAGTGAAAATTATTGTTTATGTAAAAGATTAACATTCTCTTATTCTATCCTGTTTGCCTACTCTGTTCTATATTCTGTCTAAAGAAACTATAATGTGCTGTACACACCTATTAATGTGATTATTACAGAGGCAGTTATTGGTCCCAAGACTGACAAAATTAAAGGGTAGCTCTCAAATTTTTTTATGTTGGGCTTTAAAAACCAAAGTGTGAAGTGTTTCCCTTATAGTTCAGGGTAGACACATTTAAAGCTAGCAGAAGCTAATCTCCAACTAAAAGCCAAACAGAAAAGAGTGTTCAGTGTCAAGACATGCCTCCATGGCCCACAGAGCTCCCAGCCTATCCTCCTCCAGCCAGTACTAAGTATTACAGGTACAGGATGTCTAAATGATACTGTGATTTCCAAGTTAAAACCATGATATCTCTTCCTCACAACATGTATCAGGGCATTAAAATTGAGGAAAAGTCTTCCCTAAAGAAGTTTACATAATAATTGTCTAATCCACAAAGCCCCATCTCTCTCTGCAAAGCATCTATTTGTTAGTGAAGCTCAAGGGACTAAACTTATTTCAGTCCTCTCTCAGTTCCTATTTTAAAAATTAAAGCTTCAAAGTCAGCAACTCTGCTGAAGAAGACACCAGCCAATAGCATGGCCAGTGTCAAATAACCTCCAAACAAAACAAGAACATCACATCCCTATAGTGTCACCTGACTTAAAAACAATTTATCATTTTAGGTAAGATGCAAACAGAGTATTTTTCAGGTATACCTGTGGAGAGGATGACAAAGTGGCACAAATGCCAGCTGAGGACTCTGAACGAAGTGGCTTCCCAGCTTGGATGGCTTCAGGATCAGTAGTTTGCCCATGTCCTTTGGATATTGGCTGGGAGATGTTTGTGGGTTCCAGGGACCCAAACATGCTTTTCCATTCTTCATTTACATTTGAATCTTGCTTTACATGCTTTCTAGCTGTAAGTAGTTAGGAGGGAGGGAGGAAGGGAAGGGAAGGAGGAGGTGGGAGAAGAAAAAACAAAACACCCCCAACATTACCATGACAACATTCACTCAGGATTGTCATTACTTTGGGACTACATGGAAATCTAATGTTTACAGGCCAGATCCCTACTGCTATGTTGTGGAGATCAGCTGACAGCATTTTTAAGGGAAACCAAACAAAGCACCTGCCTCATGTGTTCACATCCTCTGGATCATGTAGCTGACTCATGTAATAGATCACTTCACCAGAGGGAAAGCTTACATCTAGAAGGCTGCAGGATTAGACTCCACCATATGACAATTTTTCTTAGAGAATCATGGATCATTTAGTCCAACCACCCTGCAATGAGCAGGGGCATCAAGAAAAAATTTGTAACAGCACAGTACACAAATCATTGTTGGTGTCAAATACAATCAGTTCCCATCATAATTGCAACATCACCTGTAGATTCAAGTACATTATGTCTCTAAATAGGAAATTTATTTATTTCCAGAATTCCTTTAGAGTCACTTAGAACTGTAAAATATAGACAGAAAAAAAACCCCCATGGAACAAATTAAATTTGGACAAAGACAGTGAAGAAAAGTTAAAGGCATAAAGACTTTAAGGGTAACAGCTTTGGGTGAAACAAATTACTTCACGTATAGACTTCATATACACTAAGTTTTAAATCATGTTGACTCCTAATTCAAGGATGCAAAAAAAAAAAAAAAGAAAAATCCTACACTTCTGTACTTTCCTTTAAAATTATATGCAAAACACCCTAATTCTGGAAAAAAGATGTTAATAGCTATAGGTTTTACAGATATTTCTGTATTTCTATATGTAAAAACACAGAACCTACCAGTGATGTAATAGAGGAGGGAATTACAAGCTTGAGAGAGTAAAGAGGAAGCTCAAACTGTCTGGTAAATGAAAATTTTGAGGATACAGAGAACTGGAATAGTTAGCAGCGAGTGGTTTTCATATCTGAACAAGGAAATGTAAGAGGTTTTTTGAGCTGAAAGAAGAGCAGGTAAAAAAAGTAAAATGGGAGTAGATGAGAAGCTGAAGAACCCTAGGGCCAAAACACATGTACTTGGGTGAGCAACAGCTGGGAACTCCTCAGTGCCAGCCTGAGGAGTTTTTGGTTTTCTTCAGGCTACCTCAAGAAAACACCCAGGAATTTCACAGTTAAAAAGCTTAGCCCTTGTTGAGAGGAGAGAGAGCAGACATGCAGCCTCCAACATTTACACTGTTGCCATGAGTCACTAGAGTCCTGTTTGTCACAATCAGCTGAACAACTGCACATGCAGTCAAAATAATTTAAAATATTCTCAGGGGAAAAAATAATCCCCATTTTTCAATGATCAGAGAATATTTAATCACCTCACATTTCAAACAGAAGCAGTAATTTTCCTATTGCAAACTCAGTGAGGATGGTGATAGTCATGTAGCCTGATTTACTGAGAACACCCTGAAAGGAAGGCTATACTTCAACTATATAGATGACAAAATATACTAACCCCGTTTGTCATCAGAATCCTGCTTTGTTTTAACAAGATCCACTTGTCTTCCAGTTATTCCCAGAGCTGACAAGTCAATCACCCCTTTGTGACCGTTATCATGCAGGTGGCTCTGATCCACAATATTGGCTTTAGCTTTATTGGATTTTAACATAAAGTCCTTCAGTGCTAACAGTTTGTCTTCTTCCTCCTCAGTCATCCCCTACAGAATAAAAGAAAAGGTAATATTACTCTCTCTTAACAATAACATGCATCAAGGCATGAAGAGTTAAGAAGCAGTAAAATTAATGACTGGCTCAGAAGTGCAGAAGAACACATTCCCAGAATTCAAAGCATTGGTCCCTTGCTCATAAAAAACATAAGGTATGCTACTGCAGTGTAAGAACATCTTTCCTCCTAAGGAATGGGGCAAGGAAAAGTGAAAGGGCAGAACAGAATTTATTGCTGGATCACTCTCTGATGCAATCTGCTTAGCTGCCACCTAGACCGTGCTTACAGCCCACATGCCATGGGGGAAAAACCCCACACAGCTACAGTCCTTTTTCTTCCCAGTTCTCACTACTTTGGGTGGGTGATTCTTTATGTTCCCCTCTTCACACATAACCCTCAAGACTTTCCAGCTCCATTTCCTTTTGGCACACATGTCTAGCACTTTGACAAATACATACTCCTTTATCCAGCACAATGCACTTAATCCAGCAATGCTCTGTAAAGCTGCCACATCAAGGATGCATCAGATGTTTGAGACTTACAGCCATTTTTCAAAGACTTAGGTGGTATTTGTATGTCTCTGCATCTGGCAGATCTTTTAAACATCTTTAAGCTCTGAACAACTTGTCCCACAAGCATATACTGAAATCAATGAAGTTAATGGCTTGGGGGATCAGAACCTCAGACTGGGAGTCCTTCACAGAAGAACTGCAAGGTCAGGGCTTGCAGAGGTGTACAGAGCCCAAGAGTCTCAAGCCTGACTTTTAAAGTACAAATAAAACCCAATTACTTGTGAAAGAAGCTTCTTCAAGAGCTGTGCAATGGCAGGGTCCTCTGGGGGTGGGCACTCAGAGAGAGCTCCAGTTCTCTTCATCTGACGCAAGTGCAGGTGTCGGAAGAGGCTCGTGATATCCTTTGATCTTAAGACATAATCAAATATGGAACGGCTGACAGGCTCCTTAAGGACACTTAACAGGACTATTTCTTTGTCTACCTGCAATTCAAAACAGATCAATCAACATGATAATATCCACATAACCTGTACAAATCATCTAGACCAACAATTGTCTCCTTTCTTGAAAAAAAGTTGGTCATGTCAGACTTTCTCCATTCTCTTCCCCTCTTTCCTATCAAGTACTTCTCATAGCTGGCTGTCTACATGAAAAACAACTTCAAAATGAGTCCAGAATGAAGACTTAATATTACAATCCAACTTCATGTTACCCACTACTCGATAAATATAGTGTTGCATAGCAGAGAAAAGATTTATATACTAAAATGAAGAAGAAAAGATTTAGATACTAATATGGCACAGGAAGTGAACAAGACAAATTTACCAATCAATGCCTAAAACACAGCACAAAGAACATGTAAACACAGAAAAATGTTACTATAGTGAATTTCCCATCTGCAAGGTTTTCAACAAAATGTTAAACACAGGATACATTTCTCAATGTATGTGCTGCAATTATTTCTTCTTTATCTATTAGAACACCTGAGAGGTGCAGTCTACGGGTCCTGAAGCTGTATGCAAAGATGCCTATATGATCATATTACCAGCATCATGTAGGTCATTCCTGGACATGCACTAATAGTAAATGACTTAATTAATTCATGCTGAGCATTGTGCCCTGACCCCTGGCAAAGCACTGAAACACAGGAGTGGTTCTGGTGAAATCACAAGCACGGTAATCACTAATTAACAGACTGGTCTTGTAGATGAAAGCACAGAACATAAACCAACTTGTTTCACAGCCAACTTTCCATCCTTTTTAGACTCCTATAAACTAGCACAGTATTGTAAGAGTTTGACTATAAACAGGTCAAAAAGGCTTGAACTAAAAACATACCTGCTGATTTAGGCCTTGTAAAATGTTTTGCATTTTGCAACAAGTTTGAGACAACAGTCTTTAAAACATGGAAAGCAATGGCCATTCTATAAATCTGCCAGAGATTTATAGCAGAAATCAAAAAATCTATAATTGCCTGTAATCTCAATTGAAAAAAGTACATATGGTCCGTATAGCCATGGCCAAAACAAACTTATGGATCATGGCTAGTCCAGACATTCCCACTAATATTATTTGAAGTATTACCTGTATTATTGGTTGTGTGATAAAAGGATGGAGGTATGGCATTAGCTTGCAATAGACATCAGCAATATTCAAATACTGTGCCACCACAGTGATAAATCCAACTGCACCATAACATATCCACAGATTAGGGTGACACAGGAATGGTGCTGAAAGAAAAACAGGCTGTTAAAATATATCATTCATATAGGAGAGAGGAGATCATCCTGCATATGGCAGCCTGTGATGTAATTTCCTTCTAACAGAATTACTCCCAAACTGAGCCTTCTCTCTTCCAGAGCAACAAGGTTAAAACATTCATACAGAGGAAATTATTTCATGGATTTCACTGTAGTCATGCTGCTCAATTTCCTTGCTCTTGCCAAAAAGCATATTTTCCTTATTTGCTCATTTCAATCCCTAATTGTCAACGACAGATTTGCAAGGGAGACTAATCCAAAAATAAATCTCAACCACATTTTAACAATTACAGTGAATCCTAAAACCGGTGATAGATTTTTTTCTTTTTAAGTAAATACTTTATTCCTTCCTGCTTTCCCTCTCTTCCTTGAAGAGTCGCTACTTATATTATGAAATTATGAGGCCCAGAAGTCCCCCTAATTATGTGGGCTTTAAGAAGTTGTTGTCGAGGCACTGTATCTAGTCATGAGATGCAATCACAGATCATCTGCTCCAAATTCTGAGTGCATTTGTAAAACCATAACATTAAGAAGCAGCAGACTACATCTCAAAAGATCATTTGGTATTTTTTTTTATAAATAGCTGTTAAATCTTGGGCACATCTAAATTAAATTGATAAGCCTGATCGGGAAAGAGAGACCAACTCTGCAACCAAGGATGTATTGAGTTAATGGGTTTATATGGTGTTAGAATAAGAAAGGATCATGATTGTCTGAATTCTCTCATCTCCAAAGGCCAATGCATAAATGTTTGAAAACGATGTGCCTGATGGACTACCAGAAGCATCCTGGACTTTTTCTTTACAGCAGGTTGCCATGCAGATCAAGGAAAGATCTTAAGGCAGAAAGTTTTTGGAGTGAATGTTTTTTGCTGCTGCCCTATATAAAATCTGGCAGAATGCATCCAATTTGTTCCACCAAAACTATTATTTTAGAGTCCTGAGCACTAACATGGTTCAACTAGCAGTAGGTCCATACCACAATTTTGTTTAGATTCTAAAACAGAACTACAGGTTTGTATTCTGGACAGCTAACCCGACAATGGAGCTTTATGTAGAATTAAAATTTCTTTACTAGGAAAACAGAGTATTCTCCAGTATTCAAACTTACCTATATCACAAGCAAACTCATAAATATGGGGCTTTTGCAAGAGCCCCAGCTGGCACATACAAGTAAGAGCATTGAGGGCTTTATAAATGACAAATTCTTCAGCATCACTGAGACCTTGCTGAAGCAGAGGTTTGAGAATTGATGAGCTTTGCCAGCCAACATAAGCAGCAACACCTGAAACATAAAAATAGCATAAAAATCCAAAGCAAACTGATAAACCTCAGAAAACTCTATGTCTTCCCATCAGAATTGAGAGTAAACATAAAATAACTTTATTGCTTCTAATCTAATAAGGTAATAATCCATATACTTGTTCATGTCTTAATGTTGGACATTGCAATCTTTTGCTAAAAGGAAAGGAGGAAGGAGAGAGAAACAGCACTAGAAAGAGAAATACTCTCAGTGCCATTGCTACAGAATGGGCATCTGCTCACAGCCACAGGCAGCAGTGCCTGCACTTAAATACCAGTTAGAGAGCTCAGTTCTAAAGATGTGCAAATGCCTGAAGTAAAATAAAAACATAACTTTGGAACTTAATCTGAATTCTTCTGTGGATGTTGTGAATGGACACTGGGAAAGGAGTTAAAAACATAGGTTACATGTCTTCACTTTTAATTGCCTCACATGTCTCTATGTCTTTTGCAAGAAGGCAGGACACTCGGACCTGTGCTTTGGCTGTTCCATTGCTCCTTCTAAACAATTTCTGATAAGTTATCAATATCACTTCTTGGCAGTTTGCCAGCACAGAATTTTGTGGTTTCCAGTTACAATGGAATGTGCAGCTACCATACTGGCCCCACTGAAAGTTTGATCATGATTGTTTTTCCTGCCATGCACCTGAAGTACCATTTTTGCTCTCAGGAACTGCACTTGGGAAAGTTTTCTTGACCCACAAATCCAGCACTGACTCTAAGCAATGGTCATGTGGATTTCCAACATACATGGAGCATTGGATATACTTAACAGCCGATGTCATTATTGGTAAGATTTTTTAAATTGTTATGAAGTAATCTGAAGTAACAAGAATCTTTAGGTGATGTTTTAAGCCACTAAAAAAACCTTTCCAGTTAGAACTTCAGCATATACCAATGCCTAGTTTTCATCATATGAACGGATCTACTGAAGTGAATGGGACCATGTGCATATGTGAAGTGATGCATCTATTACAGAGCTTGCAGAAATCCTAGTAATCACTTGCCATAATTTAGCTTTTTAAGTTAGTGGCTATAGGAGAGACTCAAAGAAGAAAAAAACATTTTAATTCCAATTTTTTTAATGTTAATCTACCCTAGACTTAAATGCCTCAGTTGTATTTGCATTAAATATTTGGACTAAAAGCAGTATACATTTGTATCTACATTGTTTCATCTTCATTCCCTAATGAAACATTTCCTCCCAATAATTCAGAAAAAGTATTTTCTTATAAATTCTAGAAATCTTTATAAGAAAGGACCTTTATATGACTTATTTCTTCATATCCTGGTAACTGTTAATTTATTTATTTTCTTTCCACTCTGTATGGCCGAAACCAAACACTTACCAACAATGCTGTCAAAGAAAGCTCCTCGAAGATGCCAGTCATTCTTGTCATTTAAGAAAGTGATCATATGAGACAGAAGAACATCGTTGGCTTTTTGACGTCCAAAAAAGACACACAGACGTGTTATTCCATTTTCCATCAGTGTCTGCTTCACAATATTCTCTGGGTCACTTAGCAAAGTCACAACTTTCTGCTGGACCATTTCATGCAAGGCTTGCAATTCTGCAAGGGACAACAGGATGAGCATTTTGGCTGAGGAGAAACAGTGTGTGCATGTGTACCACCTGCTGCTAAAGGAGTTACAGTGACAGGTCATCCTGAACAACACCTGGCTCGGTAAAATTTGTAATGCAACAGAACCTCAACAGTTCCAACAAGGGCTTACCAAAGACTTCAGGCTAAGCATGAGGTGGTGACAAAGCCAAAGAGTAGAGAAATGTGAGACATTTTTACCCAGATCGATTTATTCTAAACATGTAACTTTCACTAAGATCATTCCACTCATTTTATACGTATAGATGATATGCAGATGTGAAGAAGCATAAGAATGAGTCAGCAGCAATGTTACCACAGTAAACAAAAGGCTTTGAGGCAATTTTGGTTTGATATGTTTATTTGACTATGAATTTCAAAATTTGTGAACTGACAACAGATCAAGACTATGTTTTTATTTAGGCAGATAGATTCACTTCATTAAGCATGAAGTGTACTACTTCAAAAAGTGAGTGCTTCCAATTTCATTAAATTTCTGCAGTTAATGTAACAATACTGATGAAAAATTTGAAGATGACCTTGCCTATAGCTTCTACTTCATGACACAATTAAACCAAGTATTTCTATTAAATGGAAATAACAGATTGTTAATGCACTGAATATTATTGAAAACTACAAGGCAGGATCTCAAACGAGCAACACAAAAATTTCAGCTTCTGTTGCACCAGTTTTGAGGGGTGATTATCATTCACCTGCAGTGAGAAGTCCAGCTAATTTGCTTTCTATTGTGACCCTGTCCATCAGCCACATGAAATATCTGCCTCCTGGGTTCAAATTTCTCATGCTTGGTTTCAAAAAGGGTGAAAAGAACAGAACTACTCAAGCTTCTTTCTTCTTTGTGTTACTTCCTTCATCTCCAAGCTATCTCAAGGGAGAGGAGACAGCATTCTTAGAAGCATAGCCCAAACAATGGAGCTTCCTCTCTCTCTCACCAATTCTGAGCACCCCCACCTTACATGAAGGAATTTGAAGAGGATCTTTTATATTTGGTTTTAGTAGATTTGTTGCTGTCTTATTTTAAAGTATCATCCTGCAACTAGTTAAGAGATAATTGCCTTTTCCCCAAATGGAGTATGTGCAGGATGTTTACCAACTCTGATTAGTCACAGATTGCTCTACTTAGCCCAGAAGAGAAATGACAGTTTTTAACCATAAACTATTCCCAGCTTAGATTTGCCCAGCATTGTTCTGGGAATTCATGCAACACTAAAAGGCACTGGAGATGACACATAGGTCGCTTATTACCGTGTGTCTTTACAAAGGGAAAGGTTAAGAAAATCTATCCTTAGGATTTTAATTCATTCAACACTAGTTATAATACAATGTTACAGTAATGTCACTGCCAAATGGCATCCACACATTTAGTTTTACCAGGCAAACAGACAAGAATTGTGAAGCACAGGGACAGAAAAGGAAGAATGAAAAATTCAGTGCAATGACTATGCTAGAATTTGACAGATTTTCCAAAGCTAACGCTGCTTCCCACTCCAGATGCAGTATTTGGAACACAGGCGTGTTTTTGCAGCTGTCTTGTTTATGAGGTAAGCTGGAAGTGAAGCTGGATAAGCAACCAAGCAACCAGCATCACAGTCAAATACCTTGAGGACCTCTGGAAAAGAAAACTATGCTCATTTATGTACTTTTTTGTCTCTCACCACATTCAGAGCAGAGGTGTCTGTCTCCACAGGAAGCTGTCACACACTTTGATACCGGTCAAGGCAAAACATTCTTCCCATTTAATAGAAAGGCTAAGCTTTGAGAGATGAGATAGCTCAGTGCTACCTAGGAGCTTTGGCCCATGATTCGCTATTATAAGCAGGCAAAAAGTGACATTACCTGTGTCATAGTTATCACTAGGGTGAGATGTTTCATCCATTTCTTCACCATTTGGTTCATTTTCCATATTCAGATTTTTCAGCTGTACTAACTCCAGAAATCTCAGAGCTGTTTCTGCCAATAGTGCTATGTTTTCTGCAAAGGAAAACATTTTGGTTAAGAATTGTTCTACTTTGCCAATTTACATCAGTCTGGTGACCCCCTGAAGAGAGATTACAGTCACTGACAACACCAGTCACAACAGGGAAACAGGACTGAAATTAAACTGGATGCTCTGGTCAACCCACTTCTGTTGACTCCCAGCAAAGCTACCAAAGTACATCAAATTACACAGTACTTTTGTCATGTAAACAAGTGGAAAAATCCTAATGATATTAGGTGTAACAATGACTAATTTAATTCTTCTAGAACAAGCCCAATTAGCAACTAAACAATTTGATAGAAGGTAAAGGCCAAATAGCCTGAATTAACTAACATTGTCACATAGTAGACTGCGACAAAATAACAACAAACCACCACACCAGGACATTATCCTAGGAAATAACAACTTGGTACCCTGGAATCCACTTTTAGAACATTTGTCAGGGTATCTATCCAGACGATTTGGCACCGTTCTGCACCATTTGGAAGCTGCTGAAGCAACTCAGGCTGCATTATATGGGTCAGCCACTGCTGGCACAGGAACAATAACATCAAGGCAGAAGTCCCACTTAAGCAGCCGTTCTGAGTGTCATCCAAAGCAACAGCAACGTGCCAATGGAGCCTGTCCACAGCCCAGGCCAAATACTCTTAAGTACCAGTCTGACCACTTCCAAAAGTGTAACAGAAATTAACCCAGTTAGACTACCTTTAAATACATTAATGTATTTGAAATTTAAATTGATCATGGTGACCACAAACAATTGGTTCTATTCATTAAGCGTACAAAGTCTTCAATAATTATTTTTATCAGTTTACTTAGTAAACAAAAGAAAAACATCACCTGACGTTTTCAACTAAAAAAACCCCAAAATCTAATAAAAATGTGCTAGTCATAGTGAGTAAGGGCACAGAGTAAATAGCAAACATGGGCATGACTACAAAGCTTCTTCCTGAACTGTGCAGAACTCACACATCTGAATAACATCTAAAGAAAACATCTGTTACAGTATAAGCCAGTTTATTACAGAGCAAGTAATCTAATTTCAGCCTCTGCATATCAAATTGCATGTTGTTGGAAAACAGCTCTGCAGCCCAGCAACACACTGATGCTTTAAGTTAGTTTCTTATTTATTCAGTTCCATCAGGCCATTTTATGGAAACAATCTGAGCTAATGAAATGTGACTACAGGTGTCATACCTGCAGTCACTTCTGAGACTTCTGGCGAGTTTTGCTGACAGAAACAGTTAAGAGAACACAGAAAAGCTCAAGATTTAGAGTTTTGACTGGATGTCCTCTTACCAGCATATGCAAGTCTGACGATGGTGGCTTCATCCTGGGCCAAGTGTGCAATGCCTGGCAGAATGTATTCTGGGTAAATGTTAATATCATTGCGTGGCACCTCTTTGACAAGAGCAAGAACTTTAGTTAGTGTCCTCACAGATTCTGCCCTCACCCTGGGCACAGAGTCGTTGCTGAAATGTAACAGATAAGGAGTAATACGATCCAGAAGAATCTCTACACTTAATCTTGGTGCTAAATGAAGAATCAGCTCCAAAGCAGCCAGTTTTGAATCACAGTACTTGAGAGTCTGTAAACAGGAAGTTATCACAGACACTAGAATAACCAGCCCATTCTCTTTTGTCTCTCCCTCGGCCTTCTCTGTGCGGTCGTGCCCACAGAGATTGTGAATGATGTTGTCCAGATCTTTACGTATGACCAATATACGCTCATCTGCTGACACAAACGTTTCCTTGGCAAACTGGGCCATGTAAGGCTGAAGGAAAGTGTAAAATATTTCAGGAAATGCATTGTTACGTTGCTGCTTCAAATAATCTTCAGCTGCTAAACGTTTATCTGGCTCTCGATGGATCATCTGAGTGACCTTGAGAAAGACAGAAGTAGGAGGGAGTAGGAGAGAAAGATCAGAGGTTTAGACATTTGTAATATAAAAACATTAAAACCCAAACCCAAACAATAAGCAATTTGTCACCAAAGTAGGTGAAATAAACAAACAGAACACACAGATGGTTCTAATTCTGTAGCCCATCCTTACCAGTTCTCTGATACTGCGGTCTTCAATTTTGTTGAGGACTTGGTCAGGGGAAAAGAGGCCATTTCTGTACGCCAAAAGCTGAGATAAATCAAACAAGGGTACACCTTCTGTGAAGAGCTCTGCTATTACACAACCTGGGACAGAAAGAAAAAAAGAAGTCAAAGACGTCAGAAGATTATAAACAGACACTATAACTTTGTTTTCTCTATGCAGACAAGAACAAACCCTAAACAAGTCTTTGCTCAATTAAAAATAAGGCAAATGAGTTGCCAAATTAATTTGCAGAAAGGAGATAACATCTCAAGCTCCAAAACCTGGCTTTTATACTTGATCCCTGAAATCTGTTCCAAGTAATTTATTTCAAGCATGTCAACAGCAGAGGAGTTTGCTGAATTAGAAAACATGAGGCAGTGACTTCAGCCACCTGCCAGCTGGAAAATCCATCACTAGAAAAGGAACCCACATCACCATCATGCGGAAGAAGAGAGTGGTAAGTCAGCATGGGTCGGGTAGTAGGTCAAAATTAAGCAGCCCTTTTACAGAAAGTAAAGGAATAATTTCTGCTCCTACAGCTGATGCTGGGGGACAGCATATATTCACTCACACAGGATTGCCAAAACCAGACCCCCAGTATCGTGTACATGACACAAGTCTCTCTTCAAAGAACATGCTCCTGCAGGTTGCTCCCAATAGTCTGCTTTATCTGTGGAGTGTCCTGGAAGTATGGCCATAAGAGCAACTTGTAAAATGAAGTAACCATTTCCTTCAAATTAATTTTCAATCACTTTACGGGGAGAAAAAAACCCCAAAAAGGGCTAAACTCATGATTTTTAAGATAAGGCCAAGACTCAAGGCAGTCTCCCACAGTCAAACTCTTAACTAGTATTCGTGAGTGGGACCATAACAGGACTTTGCTTCCACTTTGTGCCTGTGGAGAAAATAAAAAAAGGGGCTTCTAGAGCCAGTACTGCCAAATTACCCTGAAAGCTGTGTCAGTCCCCCCAGAACTGGGCCACGGACTGGTTTCTCCTCTCAGGCCCCATGAGGCACATGCTTCTCTGCCAATGGAAGATGATGGACTGTGCCTTGAAGAACCACCTCTTTCCAAGAGCATAGGTGAGCCATAACAGAATAGTCTGTGATTTCTCTCCTCAGATAACAGTGATACACTTAACTTACGTAGCCTACTATGTTGTCTTTGTACTTTTCTGTGAATGGAAAAGGTTTGGGTCTTTATGCTTAAAATACACAAGTTTTTAACATGCTGCTCTCCGAGCCTGCTGTAAGGAAAGAAAAAAGGAATCAAAAACCCCCAGTAAAGTTCTTCTGCACTGCATTAGTCAGAAACAACACCTGATAGCTCCAAGTACCTGCAGAAAAGATATCCATGGCACGTTTTAACTCCCCTCTTGTTCGCTGATTGCTATTTGCCAAGTCTACCAAAGGAGTGGAAGGGTCCCGCATGTTTTCCAGCTCTGTGGCAAACATGCTGCCATCGACAAAGCGCTCGGGAGCGATGTAACACGTTCTCCTCCGAGATGTGTCAAAGAAATAATTGAAGTCAGCAGGATTGTCTTCAGGAAGGTAAGTTGGTTTAAAACTGGCAAAGTCAGTTAGAAGAACCCAGTTCCAGCTGGTCACCATTATGTTCTCTGTTTTAATATCACCGTGGCGGACTCCAGATTTGTGCGCTTGGTCCACCGCGGTGAGGATCTGGAAAGCGATCCACCTCTTCTCGATGTTGTTCAGGAACGGCCTGGTACTAATTCGGTCATAAAGGTTGTCCCGTACGTACTGTCTGAAAAGCATGGCGGCCTTCTCGGACAGGGTGGCTTTCTGGAAGGGGAGGCAGTTCTGTGCCGAGTGTAACCTTATCTTCAGCTCCTCCAGCTCCTGCTTGTAGCTCGTCAGGGGTAAGGTGGGATCCTGAATGGCAAACACCTTCACGACCACCAGCCCCTCGCGGTGCTTGGCTCGGGCCACCTTGAAGAAGCGGGTGCTGCCCAGGCTCTTGTCGTACTCGAAGTCGTGGATGTCCGAGAAGTAGCTGTCCACCGAGAGGATCTGCGAGGGGGCGATGCCAGCCAGCTGGTTCCCCATGGCGGCACCTCCTCCGGCCGCGGACACCGGAGGGCTCAGGGGCTCTGCCTGCGGACAAACACAGCGCGGATCTCACGCAGCCCCGGGTTCGCCCCGCTGCCCGGGCCCGCGGGCCGCGCTCCCCGCCCCGAGCTGGCCCAGCCTCCGCCGCTGCCCAGGCCCGGCCGCCCGGGCCGGCCCCAGGGGCGCGGGCCCCCCGCAGCACTCACCGGCCCAGGCGGAGCCGGGACCCCCGGCCCCGGAGGCGGTGAGAGGGAGCGAGGCGGGACTCGGGGCGGCGGAACCGGCACCGCCGGGCGGGCGGGGAAGGGGCGGTGCCGTGAGCTCACATCCTGCCCCGGCCGGCGGCGCCCGGCTGTCCCCGAGAGTCCGCGGCGGTGCCTGCGCGGTGACAGCCGGCCGGCTCCTCTCGCCGCCTGGCCTCCTGATGAACTTCTTTTTCTCCCCCTCTGGCTCCGTTCCCTGGAAGGATTTCTTTCTGGGTTTTTTTGCTCTGCAATGGGAAGAGGCCAGGGCGGCAGCGTTTTGGGGATGAGTTCAGGCCAGCTCTAAGTTGTTTCCGTCTGTTTGTTTAGCCGTGTTAAGGAAGAGCTGTGGAGGTGCAGCGTCTCCTGCGAGCCTGGTGCTGAGCCAGCTCAAGCAGTGCGGGTCGGAAGGTGCCTGTAGGAGATGGGGGTGCTGGTGGAACGGGCCTCAGGAGCATCAGTCATTTGCTTCTCTCAGCAAACAGGAGAAGAGTTGCCGTGCTTCCTTCTGGTCCTTAGCACTGGGTGCCTGTTGGCTTTTTCAGGTGGCTTCACTTCTAGGTCTGTCTTGACAATGCGTGATATATCGGAAATATGAGGAAAAAGGCTTTTTGTAGCAAACAAAATCATTGCCTTTCTCACAGTTTAATCTGAAAGTGCTTGAGAGCAAGAAGAAGCCCAAGGCAGAGCTTGTTCATTCTTCCTTTACCTTTTCCCTTTGCCTTGTTCTTTCTTTGCTACCTATGATGCATTACTAAAGATGTGGTGTTTGGGTCTCACAGACCAGTGCCTGTATACTCAAAACTTTCCTTAATACAAGATTGCCACCAGCCATGTGTGAGGTCACTTAATCGTGCCGTCTTCAAAGTGGTTTGGGTTGGCCTAGTGAGGGTTTCTTGCCAGAAGGACTCACACATCAGTAATGGACACCTGGAGAGTTATCCTGTCCCAGGGCAGAAATCTTAGTTCAGGCCTAGGGCTAGATTAGGACTAGGACCAGGGTGAGGAGAGTGAGAAGCAGGTAACCTTCTGGTGTTAGACTGGTGCCTAGGCACAGTTCCTTCTAGGGTCATAACTGTCATGCCATTTTTTCTCTTTGGAATCCCATGATCTGGACATAACTTCCATTAACAAGACCTTTACCTGGAGGGCAGGTAGGGCAGGCATCAAGTGCCAGGGGAGTTTGGAAGAGAAGGCACATAACTCAGTTTTCTGCTCTGCTAGAAGCTTGGCAGGTTGGTTTTGTGCTGTAGCACTGTAAACAGCACTGTTTGGCTCCTGTCATAGTGGGTAGGGAAGGGAATGTGGAGTGGTGACTATTGTGCTTCCTTTTTGACTTTGAAACAGACAGTATGCTAATAGTACCCTGGTATGAGCCTTCCTAATCACCTAAAACTTCATACCCTTATTTTAGAGCATAATATGGCTGGAGAAAGCTGTCTAAGGAGACAACTGAGTGGCTGCTAAAAAGTCTGGCTAAGTTGGTAGTTGATTGTGTTATAAGTTACTAAAAGCGTAATCAGAAAATCTCCATGGGCTTTCCTGCAAAACAGTTACATAGGTGTTGCTCCCTCTAATGGAAAACATAAATGGATTTAGAGTGGAAAGGTTTTCTCAGTTGCATCTGTCAGCCCCTGCACCTTAGCTGTGCACTCCATCCTTTGATCATAGGAGGTAAGTTCCATTTCCAAAAGAGGGCAGGGCTTTTTCATAGCCAGGGCTCTTTGTAGCTGCTGCTACAAAGGCAGATTTTGCTCCAAGCTGAGCCATAGCTGCTGTCTCCGAGCTAAGGCAGATTTCTTGCCTGTGCACACGATTGTGATGGGCTAGAGTCATGCTTCAAGCCAGTTTTTCAGCCACCTGTGTCAGGGTGACAGCCTCCACATACTGCCAGGTGTACAGCGTGTGTGGGCACAGGTGCTGAGAGAGATACAACAGAATGTTTTTGTGATCTTTATTTGAAGTTTGGCTAAACTGGCCACAACAAATGGAGGAGGTGCATTTATGGCTCAGAGCAATAAAGTGGAAAAAAAGAGCAAATTGTGTATATGCTCACCCCTTTCAACTCCTCTTCTTCCTAGGTTATATACTCTTTAGGTGCTCCTCCAAATCAAAAACAAATAGGAAGGAAAACTTATAATTCACTGTGGCATCTTTGGTCAGCATTTATTCAGAAATATACAAGAAGCAAAAATAGAGGTTTTAGCTGTTGATCACGCTGAAGTTAACAGAAATGATATAAGTTTCCAAATATATTGTCATATTTTCCTTGTCTCCCAAATCTGTTTCCCTTCTAAAGCAAACATCCTTGGGTATCTATGCAAATGCAATGCCTTTCATCATTTCTTGAAAATGTCAGAACTCTACTGCTTCTGCAGAGCAGAGCTTAGAAACAGAAAAGCAAAGAGCATTGTCATATCAGAAGTCTCCATTAAATCATGGATGAGGACTGGAAATTGCCTGGAAACTGCCTGGGCTCAGTGGTGTGTCCTATGGATCTCCAATGCTCTTGCCCCAGTACAAAGAATTTATCCCTATTTACTCAGACCAGGGCTTATGGAAATATTTATGTTGTGTGAAACCAAAACTACTTTGAAAGAAGAAAGAAGATTTAATGAATCTTCAATCTAAAGCATCTTGGAATAAGAACAAAGCTTCTGAAATGCTCAAATTTGTATATTTTACTGAAAAGGGTTTGTAAGGTTTTAATTTCTTATGATTCTCTATGCCAGCATTTTGGGTAATTTTTTGCTTTCAAAATGGTTCATTAATATGTCAGTTGACTTTCTAGGAATGGTGCTTTTTTAATTACTAATTTGCAAAGGGATTCAGGATCTGTGTGTATCACCCATGATTAGTATGTCTGTACAATTTAAAACATTCTGCAGCACCATTCTGTGCTATCACATCTTGTGACAGTCTGTCCTGCTGATTTAGCAAGACTGCACTGCATGCAATATGGCAGTGATCCCAGGGACTTAAATGAGTGAGAGAAATGGTTTATAGAATACTTTCTTTAAAAGTACCTAAGGTAGGGGAACTGCCTCAAGTTTAGTCTCCAGACTGATGTACTGACAGATTTGTTCCCTAGTCATGTGCTAATTGTTTTGGAATGAGAATCACTTGCTCCTGGATCCTTCTACCAAAGCAGCATGTACAAAATTAATTTCACAAAACTCAGCAAGAGACCATATGGAAGGGGAAAATGGTATTTATTTTAAACAAAGTTGATTTCAGTCACTAGCACATTGTGTTGTAGATGTCAGTCCCTTGCACTCCCACACTGTGTACTCAGAAGCATCCAGTCATGTGTGGTACTTTCATACACAATCTTCTAATAATGTTTCATTCAGACCAAGTTCAGTATTTCTGCCACACAGCAAGTTAAATTGCTCTAGCATGCATGGTTATACTAGGTTATACTAGTGCAGTTTTCTTCTGTGTCTGCAGTTACTTTTAACTTTGGGAATTAAAAAGAGAAAGATGGAAATTGTAGAGGTGAGTTCTATTACATACCTTAAAAATCTAAGCCTTAAACATACCTGCAAGCTGTGGATAGTTCTTAAAACCACGCCCTTGCAGGGAGAGCGGAGCAAGAAGAATGCTTTACTCTTTTTCTTCTGCAGAACTGTGGAGATTTACTGAGGTAAATGCTGCTGTTTTGAGCTTCAAATGAAATCTGAGTAACTCTTTAATCTCAGGAACTAAACTGTGTAAATTTCCCCTTTCCTGCATGTGACTCCTCTGCCTGAGACTCAGAAACGGCTCTTCTGTATTAGCCACAACTTAGCTAATGGTCATCTTTTACTGGACTAAGTCAGCTCCAGTGCCAAACAACTCATACTTTTTATTTTCGTGTATCTTAGTTTAGTTAACCTAAGCTCCAATGCCAAACACCTTATATATCTAATAAAATTATTTTAATTTAAATTTTAAATTATTCTATGTTACTTTTTGTTTTATGTATTTTTATTTTATTTTATTTTATTTTATTTTATTTTATTTTATTTTATTTTATTTTATTTTATTTTATTTTATTCGGTGACTATTTAGTCTTCCTTTGAAATCCAGGGTACAAATGCCAAACTGGGCTCTTGGGCAGATATATAACATGTTCTTCAATAAAGGTACCAGCTCTGTGCTAAACAAGTTGCTCTCTGCCAGATCCAGACTCGGTCTCGGCTGTGACCCCAGAGAAATGCCAAGTGTTTCCAAGGAAGCAGGCCTCTGCTGGAAGCTGAGAGGTTTGTGTGTTTCATCTGTTTATTTTGTGTGCTGATGAGAATTTGGGAGGGTCTAACAGAGTGGCCAGCACATTTTGAAAGCATGTTTTAGATAGGCAGGATTTATGGAAAGCGGATGCCTTCCCAAAGCAATTATAACTCACCATTTCCAGGGCTTTGGTTTCCCATGCCCCACTTGTTCCTGTCTCAGTAGGAAATAATTTTACCAAGACATAGAGGAGACTGTTCAAAGCATCTGCTGACAAAGGGCTGAGTATCATGTTGCAAATGCATGTCCTCATTTGCTGGAATTGTAGAGGCAAAAGATAGCACAGAACTGGGGTTGAATATTAAATGTCCCAGGGAGAAAAACAGCTAGCAGGTGCTAGTTGCTGTGAAATCTGGATGCAATTAAAAGCAATTCCTCCCTTGCAAGGAAGATGATGATGATGTGAGAGTGAGCTCTTTGGGAACAGGTACACTTAGGAGAAAGCCTACTGAGAAAAGTCAGGTTTTAAGCTTGCCTGGCACACAACTGACAGGAGAATTGGAATGGCAACCTCTGGAGAGGTGATGCAAGGCTGGGAATATCTGGCTGGTCAGTGGTGTTAGCTATGGGAGTGTTAGGTGAGAGGACAGTGAAATAGTTGTCAGTCCCATAACTGAGTTATTGTCCTCCAGGCCAATAATACTGCCTCTCTGTGTGAGAGCAACCACAGTGATACTGGGTTTGTCCATTGGAGGAAGGACTGAGAACAGAATCTCTGCTCTCATG